TAGGGACGTGCACGAGTTCGAGCTAAGCTTTCTCACTTTCCATTTGCCATTAGCATCGAGCTAAACATTATTACTTACCTATTGGCATTAGCTTTGAGCTAAGCATTGTTCCTCTCCTTACGGAACTAGCTTGTGCTATGCATTCTTATTTTCCTTTTGGCATTAGCTTCGAGCTAAGCATTCTTCATCTTCTTATGGAATTAGGTTTTGCCAACTATTCTTACTTTCCTTTTGGCGTTAGTTTCGAGCTAAGCATTATTACTTTCCTTTTGACATTAGCTTTGAGCTAACCATTGTTCATCTTCTTATGGAATTAGCTTGTGCTAAGCATTCTTACTTTCCTTTTGGCATTAACTTCGAGCTAAGCACTCTTCCTCTCCTTATGAAATTAGCTTGTGATAAGCATTCTTATTTCCTTTTGGCATTAGTTTTGATTTAAGCATTCTTAATTTCCTATTGGCATTAGCTTCGAGCTAAGCATTATATCTATCGTTTTGGCATTAGCTTTGAGCTAAGCATTATCCCGCTCCTTATGGAATTAGCTTGTGCTAAGCATTCTTACTTTTCTTTTGGCATTAGCTTCGAGCTAAGCATTTTTCCTCTCCTTATCGATTTTTCTTGTGCTAAGAATTCTTACTTTCCTTTTGACATTAGCTTTTAGCTAAGCATTCTTACTTTCCTTTTGGAATTAGCTTCGAGCTAAGCATTGTTCCTCTCCAAGCATTATTTCTCTTCTTATGGAATTATCTTGTGCTAAGCATTCTTACTTTCCGTTTGACATTAGCTTTTAGATAAGCATTCTAACTTTCCTTTTGGTATTAGCTTCGAGCTAAGCATTATTCCTCTCCTTATGCAATTTGCTTGTGCTAAGGTTTCTTTCTTTTCTTTTGGCTCTAGCTCCGAGCCAAGTATTCTTAATTTCCGTTTGGCATTCATTAGCTTCGAGCTACGCATTCTCACTTTCCGTCTGGCATTAGCTTCGAGCTATGCATTGTTCCTCTCCTTATGGAATTAGCTTGTGCTAAGCATTCTTACTTTCGTTTTGGCATGAGCTTCGAGCTAAGCATTATACCATTTCTAATGGAATTAACTTTATTGTATAATTTATGTTATATATTTATTTATTTTATCTATTTATTCTAATCTTTTCTTATTTTTATTTCAATTTTAATTTTAATTTTAATTTTAATTTATTTTTTTATGGACTTAGATTGTTCTAAGCATTCTTACTTTCCGTTTGGCATTAGCTTCGGGCTAAGCATTCTTACTTTCCTTTTGCCATTAGTTACGAGCTAAGCATTATTACTTTCCTTTTGGCATTAGCTTTGAGCTAAGCGTTGTTCATCTTCTTATGCCATTAACTTGTGCTGAGCATTCTCACTTTCCTTTTGGCATTAGCTTCGAACTAAGCATTATACTTTTTCTTGTGGAACTAGCTTTTCTTTATTATATATTTATATATTTATTTATTTTATAATTTTTCTTATATTTTTATTTAATTTTTATTATTTTTTATTCTAATTTTTATTTTAATTTTATTTTAAATACAAGTTTTAATTTTTATTTATTTTTAATTTTTAATTTTATTTTAATTTTTATTTTTATTTTATTTTCTTATGGAATTAGATTGTGCTGACCATTCTTACTTTCCGTTTGACATTAGCTTTGAGCTAAGCTTTCTTATTTCCATTTGCCATTAGCATCGAGCTAAGCATTATTACTTACCTATTGGCATTAGCTTTGAGCTAAGCATTGTTCCTCTCCTTACGGAACTAGCTTGTGCTATGCATTCTTATTTTCCTTTTGGCATTAGCTTCGATCTAAGCATTCTTCATCTTCTTATGGAATTAGGTTTTGCCAAGTATTCTTACTTTCCTTTTGGCTTTAGTTTCGAGCTAAGCATTATTACTTTCCTTTTGACATTAGCTTTGAGCTAAGCATTGTTCATCTCCTTATGAAATTAGCTTGTGCTAAGCATTCTTACTTTCCTTTTGGCATTAATTTCGAGCTAAGCACTCTTCCTCTCCTTATGAAATTAGCTTGTGATAAGCATTCTTATTTCCTTTTGGCATTAGCTTTGATTTAAGCATTCTTAATTTCTTATTGGCATTACCTTCGAACTAAGCATTATATGTATCGTTTTGGCATAAGCTTTGAGATAAGCATTATCCCGCTCCTTATGGAATTATCTTGTGCTAAGCATTCTTACTTTCCTTTTGGCATTAGCTTCGAGCTAAGCATTATTCCTCTCCTTATCGATTTTTCTTGTTCTAATGATTCTTTCTTTCCTTTTGACATTAGCTTTTAGCTAAGCACTCTTACTTTCCTTTTGGAATTAGCTTCGAGCTAAGCATTGTTCCTCTCCAAGCATTATTCCTCTTCTTATGGAATTAGCTTGTGCTAAGCATTCTTACTTTCCGTTTGACATTAGCTTTTAGATAAGCATTCTTACTTTCCTTTTGGTAATAGCTTCGAGCAAAGCATTATTCCTCTCCTTATGCAATTTCCCCGGCGCACCGCTTAAGAGAACGACACCCGAT